TAGAAAATATTACGATCCGATACAATATCGAATACAGAACAGAACTGAAAGAAAGGAACTGTGCAAGAGAAGGCTTTGAATAGAATAGGACACACAATGAAGTAGCAGAGGGGAACAAGAGAAAATATGATGCTATGAAGAGGACGATAACATTCTAAGGGATAAAGTTGAAGATGCTATGCTAGAGATGAACTCGAGGATGATTGACGATATTCGTTGGATTGGATTAATTGATGATCAGTTCGTTAGCTGTTTATCAAACAACAACTGGAAGAGATATTCAATCCGTTGGAATGAACGAAAGCATTGTGAAGACGATGTGATGTGACGATGCACTCACTCTCTCACCAATAACTTTGTTCTGTTGTAAGTATTCTCATTCTTCAAAATCTTGAGAATGTTTGTGAATCTGCTTCGTAGAACTACTCCTCATCGCTACTATGCTTAGTTCGCCTCGGAATTGGTTTTCTTCATCGTTTTGTTTAAGTGTGTCATATTTTTACGATCCATCCGAATGGTTATGTTAAAATTCAACATCTTCTCTCGCGTCATAATGTTCTTTTCTTATTCATTTTCTGTAATCTTAAATTTATTCTTCCTGCACATGCGTTCCATTCGTTCATTCATCCACTTTTCTTATTCCTATCCATCCAAGCATGTATTTTTGAATTTTTTCTTCGTACTATTCTAATTGATCATATATTCTCCGCTCAGACTGCTGCACTTGTTAGAAATTTTCATATTCTCATGCGCACGTTTCTGTTTTTCATTGTTTTTTTTGTTCAGTAACTTTCAATTGACAAAGTTTTCAAGTTGAAAGTATCAAGTAGTTTTATCATTTCGATAATTGTTAATCCTATTGTTGGTGATTCCTTTGATTTCATTGAAGTTCTCTGCTCCCCTACAACAACGTTCCTATTACTTTTTCAATCGAATCATTTTCATTTTCTTCACGAGGAAGAAGAAAAAGTAAAAATGGGAAAAAGGGAGTTTGCGACGATCGTTATTGAATTTGTAAATTCATTTTATGGAACGAACGAATTTAATTTATGGAATTCGAACCAACCAAGTGAATTCGCGTCTACTTGCGTTTGTTACAAATGATTGACAGTTCTTCTTAATGATAAATGTTTAAAACTCAATCGCTAACCGACTAGCACGTCGTCTTCAAATGGAAAACGCAGAACCGAGCGTAACAACTCAACAAATCTGCACTGAAAACTTCTTCGGCCATCGAAATTCGCTTATATTTGCCGCTAACATTTTCAATTTTATACAATTACTTCGCACTCACCTCAGCTCTCGAAATCTACACTGTTCGAATCACAATTACCACCACCGTCATAATGGCTCATGATTGTGTACTACTGTTTCACTGACTAACAACTGCCGTCATCTGTCATCTTGTATTTATTCATCGATTCAATTGAATGTATATGAGACAAGACCGGCTGATGATGAACGAATGGAATGGCAACTGAGCAGTATTAGTGCATGATGAGAGACCGAGCAAATGCATGATGCGAATGTGAATTCTACTGCATATTATGAGCACAATTCTACTGCATTCTACTCGAATATCGATTGCAGCCCATCCGTCGTACACATTCAACGCTACCTACGCATATCCGCTGAAATCCATCAGCAATTCTACTGCATTCATCATATCATCGCATGTTTACGCTGCTCTTGTCTTGAATCGTTTTATTCCTATAGCATTGCAAAATTTTCTATTCTACACAATGTGCAGACGTTTCAAAAAAAATTTTTCATTTTCTCAACAACAGGGTCAGATACAATTGTTGTAACATGCTTGTTGTTAGAATTATCTTCGTGAATTTTAAGGTTATTCGTTAAGACTTGAGAAAGGTGTTCCTCTCTTTTATCCTCTTCTCATGAATTTTAAGATGTGTTTAGTTGCAGAAACTCGACGCAATTTGATAATATTTATTTTCAAACTTTATTTATTCAGTGTTCATGTGAATGGTGTGTTCACTTGATTACTGCTTGTTTGTTTTTGTGAATTGTAACTTTGCGAACCGTCAGTCAGTCGTCAGTGCATAAGCAATACTTTTCGAGTGATCATGTGAAATTGCCGTAAACAACTTTAATATAAACTTAAACGATTTTTTTTCGGTTCAGTTCGCTGTTGATTGCCCGAGTTTTTCGTTGGTTTATTCAGTGATTGTGGTTTGGATGTACTTGGAATCATGTACACACACATATTTTTTCAGCTCACTTTGAGTGCTTTTTGCTTGGAAGTCCCCCATGTTCGTTTGAATTTGTATTGAGAAAAAATTTTCTGTGTTAATATAACGAAACAATTGACGCAAGAAACTTCTCTCCTTATTGTTTTTTTTTTCTTGGGAAACTGATCATAGTGCTTGTGCTATGTTTCGGCGGAAAATTCTTTTCGACGCTTTGGAGGATGTTGAACAGATGAACACTCGAGTCAACAACGGCATTCAGAGGTATTGCATCGAACGGTTGCATTGATATTATGACTTGGAGATACTATCAGTTCAACTATAAAACAGCGCAACAATATCTCTATGTATCACTTTCAAGAATTGTCCCCTATGGATGTGGATGAAACTTCTATGCTTGGTGCAATCATCACACGGGTTTTTGAAACGAATTCCGGTCGAATTCTTTCTTCATCTGGAAATTTCATCTTCACCTGAAAACAGTTGCAAACAATCGAATCAGCAGCAGCAGCAGCAGTAACCAACATCATGTGGCAATCGATACTGATGGCTTGCAAAATTTTGGTTTGGTTTGTTTCGAAATGTGACCAGAATACCAATTCAAACAGAGCGTTGCAATTGAAATGAATTAAAAGATAAAAGGACGATTGGATGATTTGTTCAAATGATTGATTGTTCGTTTGTTCGATGTTGTAACTGATACGAAGAAGCACATCGTCGTCGTATTCATCATCATGAAAATAAGGGAGGAACACAAGCAATAGTTCAAAATTAGCATCGTCATCATCAATATTGCTTACAGTTGGCCAGTTTCTTCCATTCTTTTCCCTTCCTCCATAATATGCGCCCAGCTGATGAAGCGAATACGGAATCAGTTGATTCAATTAGCCGCTCCTTTATCGACGGCTGTTCATTCTGCTCGTTTGTTCATGTGAACGGCTGTGCTCAAAATTCTTTATTTGCTTGCATTTGATTAGTGCAGATGTGGACAACGACGACCTGATTAAGGCTCTTGAATATCAATTAGCACGGTATTCATGTATTCATGCGAGTCGTTTCTAGAATCCTTTCATTCAAGAGATTTTTTTGTTGAAGTTTCAGAAGATTCTTATTAATATGCTAGTTTCCGATTGTAATCATATTCATAGTCGTCACGTATCTGTCAGTGTGTTTTTGCAACAAAAAATTTGCATTGTTTGCGCGATGACTGCTGAATTGTTAATGCATATGTGTGTGTGTTCTATCTGGCCAAATTTTTAATATCATCAACTCAATGACGTCAGTTCCAGCTGTCACATTCGTCAGATTTCATTCGGCAAATTATTGTCATCAGAACATCATTAGGTTTCATATGATATCAGTTTTATCGACGACTAAACATGACGTATCAGAGAGAGAGAGAGCAAAATTTCGCAAAAAAANAAAAAAACAAACAATCAGCAAAATTCAGACTGATTGTAATTTTGCATTGTGTCCGAATAATATCTCATATAAATGCCTAAATGTTTTCTGGTCAGCTTAAACATGCAGAAAATGTGTCCAGAGCTCATGTTCTCCTTCTTCTTCTTTTGTCATGGATCGCCTGTAGTTGTGTTCCTTTACCAATGCCTTTCAATGACCTATCCGATAATGACATTCAGCAAACTAATCACATTGTTCTTTTATTATCTAGCCACATCTTTTAGAGGTTTCAGTGTGAAATTGTTTCGAATCAATTTGGAGAATGAGTATATGACTTCGACAACTGTATTTTATGTAAATGAATCGCTAAAGATAGGTTGTGTGCCCAAATGCGTTTGATGAGTTTAATTTTTTATTCAATTGAAGCTGATGAGTATTGTCGATGGTCTTCTGACGAGTAATGGCGGCGAAACGGTGAACAGCATGAATCAAGCATTTCGATCACATGGAATATTGAAGGTGGTGTGCACATCATATTAATCAACTCTCTTAACCTAGTGTTTGTGTATTACCGAGCGATTTTATTGCTTTAATTTATAATTATTGAACAATGCGGAGTAGTAACTCATTCATATACAGTACATGATTAGTGATGAATTCACAAAACTGTAAGAAATGAAAAGCATGAAGGGAAACCGGCCGACTCTGTGACGTACCTGTATTAATGCAGTGTGTGTGTAAATTTCTTAAAACTTTCCGTAATTTCATGAAAAGAGCTTCAAAGAATTTGTGTTTCTAATGAATTGGTTAAAATCGCTGGTTATAATCAGATCAGACGTAATATTTTGAACGAAAGTGATTTGCGGCATTGTTATGTTTGTTCTGAATTCTTACAATTAGGAGAGAATTGGAATTTCATTCAATTCTTAGAATAAACTATGCAAACATTGTTAATCATCGTTTTTGTTTCACAGTTCCTCGTTAATGCTATAACTCTAATGATGATGTTGTTGTGTAAATTCCGTTGAAAATTTTTTCTTGGAACCAATTTGAAACCAAAAAATTCTCGAACAATATTTTACAAATTACCTCATGTATTGAGTGAAACAAAATTAAGTTATTCCTTCTCAGATTCAGAGAGTCAAATTAGAGAGTCGAAAGGGAATGTATATCTCTTAGAGGATTCCACTTCGATTAATTTCCATGCTATTGAATATGCTTAAGTGAAGTTGTTGTTTTATTCCAATCAAGCAAAATGTTATCAATTGGTAGTAGTGAATGAGATTTCAGGAGAATATTTCTGACAATGAGTGTATTATTCGAGTATATTCAATTTTTTTTTCTGTTTCAGTGTTTAGCTCAGTGTCACGTGGTGCTAGGCCTGATAATCTTTATATTGGCGGCACTCGCAGATTACGTGAGTTCACGGATTAACACAATACGATTGGTCGGGCTTGAGGAATGCTGCTCGTTCTATTTTATCATGACTGGGTCAGTTTTCTCATTATCATGATTCAGTTTCATCTCACAATAAGCAGTCAGTGTTATTCTTTGGTCTCGTCCACGTGTTACCAAATGCTAGTCTGTTATTATCCAAGGTTTAGAATCAGCCTCCTCCTTGAATAGCTGATCAGCGTAGATACCATGGCAATGTTTCGTTGATCAACATGGGAAGATAGACTGGCTTGTAGAATAGACCATCCAAATCAAGATGCGGGAAATATTTTCATCGCGTTTTCATGATCACCTACCTGTCTTTTCATGATTTATCTCCGGGTACTGAAACTTGAAACTTGAATACAATATATTCCATACCTAAGAAGAATACTGTTGACATTACAGTAGATTATCATTCGAGCTTCACCTGTCAAGTATATTTTCTGTCTTTAACAGTAAAAAGATTGGAATTTGTGAGTGCTTCAAGATGATTACAAATCGTATGGTTGTGATTTTATCTTAAGCGAGTGAAGTGACGATTATTGATGACACCTATAAGTTCGTCGAATGAAATTTCTCGATAATATTTGGAGTGATTACTCTTTCAGGATTATCGGGATCTGTGGTGCGGCCAGTCATCGACGTGGTCTCATAATAGCGTTTATGATAATGGGTTTGCACGCTGTCATTATTTTCGTTCCTGCGATCGTGATCGTCTCAAGTTTTGATATACACTTCTACCAGGTTCGCTTTGTGCAATTTGGTGCTACATTAATCTGTTTTCCACGAGTTGAATATCAGTTTATCATCTGAATCTCTTTTGAAGATTATGGGATATGGATGGCACTAGATCAGCGGAAGGTTAATTTGTAGGATGAAGATATTTTTAATATTTATATAATTAATGAGTCAAATCGGCTCATAAAAATCTCCATGAGATGGATATTGAGATTTAAAGATAATGTAGAGGATTTGAAGCATTGAATGCAGATATATTTTCTAATGAACTGTATGGACTAACTGTGACTTTTCATAGCATTACGTCGACTTATAAAATTCATATAAAATGCTAGAGCTGGGATTGAATAATGCATACTTGAGTGTCTACTTCCATCCTGCGTGCATATATCACTTTGCTTTAAGCCAACTGAATTTTTTTCACTTGACCAGATTCAATTAGAGAAATTGCTTCGTTCATATTCGTTATCCATTAATCGCAAAAAAAATCACAATCAACAGGTAGAGCCTAGCGATAAGTGTAGTTGACTATTTGGCATTAGAATTTTTCAGATTTAAAATATTGATCTCGCTACTTGAATTCTTGTTAATTGTATGGAAAATAATGATTTGAAAAATTTAAAAAAAAACTGTTAATCCACCCTATGATGCGATTGTTAACGAGCGAAAAGTTGACGAGCGATCAGTTAATTAGGTGAATCATTCCGAATCTTCTGATGGAATTTTTCCTCATAAATAGGCAGGGACTTCGATTAGAACGTTGATCGACGAAAATGAGTGTTTATGAGGATAGAGTGCGATTGGATGGGATTTTTGGTGATGATTACAAATATGAACTTATTTGTTGGAATAATAGAATCGTTTGGGGCAAATATGGGAATTCTGACATGAAGATATTGAATCTGAGTAGCGAAATGATCGCTACATGGGAACAGAATGGAAACGGAACGTTAAAAAGTGCAGAGAAATTTCATTGTTTGGTGGAGATTTTTCAGTTTTTTCTGCATATTTCTTTCTTCCGTTGCAGGCTGAATGTTTTGGTCAATGCGACTGGCATCTACTGGCCACAAGTTTACCGAAAAACAGCCGTTGTCAGATCCTGTGCGGTGAAAATATTGACGATAATAAAAGGAGGTAAGAAAGCATATTCAGTACGGAATCCCAATCAGCGAAATGATACTGATTCAAGAATGGATGAATCTGTTCTCATAAGAGTTTCGAACAGTTTTAAGGAAGCTTCGAGACGTGATTAATCGTTTTTCGATTCTTTCGACTGTTTCGATTTTTCATAATCTGATTGCTCAGATCATGAAGGAACGTAACCGAATCTGACCAACAAAAGTTTTGGTCATATAAGTGCTTATAGCACTATTGTTATATTTTGGCGAAAATCTTTTTTGCATTATTTATCTTTCTTTTTTTATTATCACCAAAAGGTGTCTGTTAACGACTAGTCGAAATCTGAAATTTTCAAAAAAACAGCACGATGACGAGACTGGGAACGGAATATCGATTAGATGCGGGCATAATTGCAGCGAGTATCATCGAAATGATACTGGCGATCATATCGACAACACTGTGCTCTCGCGATATTTGCTCAGTTTGTCGCAAGCTGACAAAATCTGATGAGGTGCGATTTCAGTTATTCATTCCCACATTACAATTTCAGAGTGTGAAACTATAATTCTTTGCATGAGTCACTAACTGCAGCCAATTTCATGCTCTCCAGTCCAATTATTGGACTAGCCTATTCCAGTAAACTTTTGACATTCGTCAAGATTTTGAGCATGCTATTGTTTTATTCCCGTTATTTCCGTCATATTCTCATTCGCGTATCGAAGATGAGCAATTTTGAGAAGTTCGTCACTCAGTAGCAGTGCAAATGAATTTCTAGGATCGGCAGATGGATACGATTCCGCTAAAGCCAACAGAATCTCGGCAGTACTGAATTTTTGAATGATCGACATAAGCGAATTATTCAAATTGGAATTCACTTGCCCCTCTTGCATATTCTTACCATGTTCATAGATGTTGTGTAATGATATTTTAATGTGTACAATAAACTGTTATAATCTTTCGCTTTAGGCGATTTTCTTTTTCGTTTTTCTACGCAACATAATAGAACGCTCTTTCTCGACGTCGTATCGTGCAGAATATGAGAAAAAGCGTTCGAAAGCTTGCACTTATCGAGTACAAATTAACAGTTTTTGAATGGTAAACTCCGCAGAATCCTCACCGATCGATTGTGCAGTTTGGTTATCTGTTGATTGTACGGAGATTTGAAAAGTGATGCCCAGGCCGAACATCACGATAATACGATGGCTGATTGTTGCTCTGGCTTGTCGCCTCCGAAAATGCTGAAGAAAATCGGTTTCGTAATGGGTTGCTAAGGAAGGGCGATTTTTTTGCCCGTCTCATCACGAACGGCCATGTTTCTACAGTAATGCATCTGTGTGCTCGTTTTCGCACGGTCTCATAAACTCCACTATCAGATGATCAAATATCTATCGTGACCTTAATTGCCGATCGTGCCTATGACTTTTCCGCCTCAATTTCATTGGATTATTTCTTGGACAATAACGTGACGTATCCTACGGTCCTGCGAATCGGTTCTCTTTATAATAGCATTAGTGCTAAACATACTTCTATTGATTCTGCGACGATCGTAATGTTGGTCGGCTTCAATCCTCGAATCTTCCACGAATTCGTGTCGATCCCGAGAACGCGTTCGACTTGGCGATGGAAGTGTTCGTGATCTGGTGAAAAGAGAATTTGATTCAGATTCGTCATTCAAATATCTTGTAAACTCACACTGAATTCAGTTGCAAGCTTTTTTCCTATCAAGATCATGCAGTGATGTGTACGTTGTGTTCATATTTTAATATCTCGCTGGAATTGACGTTGGTTTGCAATAGAATGCATTATTCAAATGAGTGCAAAAAATACCGTTTCTTTTCCTTGATGAGCATTGTTGATTTGGAGCGTTGAGCGTTCTGTTGGTTCTGCTGGATTGCGGTTTCATGCCGTTCGCGACGTTGGATCAGGCGATCTCGTTGCTCACTTCGCTCCAATATTCGCTCGTAATCCCCGCTTAAAATTCAACAATTAGGCTGGAATGAAGGTTAAATCAAGCATCGTCCACCGTTACAGCTCGATTCACAATCGTTGTTGTATTTGGTCAAATCTTATGATTGCGATCAAATTGAAGTCTTTGTGGAATCATCGTTACCATCATAGGATGAATGCAAGGTTTTGAAAGGACGCAATGAATTATCGAAGCTCACCTGGTGTCAATTGCGTTATCCGGTAGAAAGTACCACGTTTCACGAAATCTCTGTGCTGCAGGAATAAGAACATAGGCACCACGAGACATCAGGTCACGAACGTCACGGATACGATGACCATCCATATTGCACAGCCTGTACTTTTTTCAACATTTCTGTTCGAAGTTGCTTATATTTAACATTTAACAGGTAACCATAACAAGTTCGAATTTAAATAAAGATTGTCTTCGTTTATTTTTTTTTTGATGTACGAGACTTTATGCGATGGAATTTTGAAACAGCACATAGCTAACGTTTAGAGTATCTTATCAAGTTGAGAGGGTAATCATACGAGTGATTTTACCTGCCAGGTTTCACTCCAAAACGTCTCGCAATTAACTCCAATACGAAACTCATACCCTTCTCCAGTTGAGCTCGTTGAAAACTCATGAACTGTGATTCCATGCCTCTGCCGTTAAGAAATACGCTGCAATGGAAATTTAGAAGATGGCTCTGATCAAATATCACTTACAGTTAGGAATTTGCGCAGCTGTGCAGTATAATGGGAAATTCAGCGAATGATTTTTAAAAAAATCGAAGGTAATTTCAACAACTCAGTCAAGTCGGTCCTTTTATTTAGGATTAGATGAAGTGTCATTTTCATCGGACAATTTCTGCGTTTAAGGAAGTTTCGCCTTCTTACTGAGAAATGGGTTTCAGATTCAT